GGGGGGGGAGAGGGGGGCCGTGAAGGAGAGAGCCTTCTTATAGGCCACGAAGTAAGCCGGATATGCCATGACGGACTTAGCACCCGAATAGCCCGATAACTACCGTCTTTCCCCGAAGAGAACGTATGGCCATTATACCCGTATGTGGCTCACCTTTCCGTCCACATGCAGCGAAAATTACCGTACGTTCTATTCGGTGGAAGAAAGGTGGTGGTCCCCGGACAGTTCCTCAACTAAGTTACACCCGGGCAGATAGATTATTTTGGTAGCAGGAAGGCATCGAGAGAGAGAAAGAGAGAGAGAGAGAGAAAGAGAGAGAGAGAGAGAGAGAGAGAGAGAGAGAGAGAGWGAGAGAGAGAGAGAGAGTATCATGGTTATTTTGTGAAGATGAATGGATTGACAAATTTCTGCGTGACCTCATTTCTGTCATCTTCCGACTGGATAGTGTTTTTTTTTGTTTTTTTTTTAACTGTCTTCTCCTTATCGGGGGACAGCTATAATATATTTTCTCTCACTTCACATATATTTTAACTGGCTTTCTGCAATGTCATCATTGAACATATCTTTTTCCGTTCACTACCTACCATTACTCTACCACCGAGCTGATGCATTCATTCCTTTTTTTTTTTTAAGGAAAAAAAAAAGAAAACCAATGACCACTGTTAGGCGACGTGGTAAACGCAGCAGCCCCTCCTCCTAACAGCGTCCCATTCATTCGTGACATGGGGCCTCGCTGCACTACTCTTGAAATGCACAAAAGACAAAAATCATGTCGCTGTATCTTTCCATGTTCTAGCGGAAGATTCACTCTCGTTTTGCACCTTTCAAGAGTAGTGCAGCGAGGCCCATGTTTCTAGGTACATTTTGACCGGACGGTCTCTGTCGAAAAATTTCGACTCTTTTTTCCTATTTTTTCACGCGGATGGCTCGTCACCCATCTATATATATTCGAATAATAAACATACCAGCGATAGTGCGTAAACTGCTTCCTCCTTTTTCCGTATAATAAGTACGTAATTTCGGTCAGCAAATCCATTCAGTGTGTGCTTGACATTCAGACAGTTCAGCGATGTTGAGAGCTCTGCCTGTCTGCACGAGGACAACGGTTGGTTTACGACGACGACGATCTTGGAGGCACGCTACCGTTACGCGGTAGTTGATGATGACCCCGATCCCGATCCCGATCCCGATCCCCCCCCTGTTTACGGCCGTGTGCATGATCTGTGCAAATCCTCCTGAGGCTGCAGTGTTTCTAAGCTGGGCGAAGAGTACCACATTGCCCTAAATACCGTTACGGTTACGGTAGTTGATGACCCCTACCTTGTGCACGACGACATCGCTCGAGAACCTACTCTGACCGCAGACCTAAAGACGGCGCGGATTTGGTTTCTCGTCTTCCTCCTCCCGTCCCGGTCCTCCTATTCCTCCTCTTCCACCTCCTCTTTCACCTCCTCTTTCACCTCCTCTTCCTCCTCCTCTTCCTCCTCTTCCTCCTCTTCCTCCTCTTCCACCTCCTCTTTCACCTCCTCTTCCTCCTCTTCCTCCTCTTCCTCCTCTTCCTCCTCCTCTTTCCTCCTCTTCGTAGCACCCCTGAAGAGTAGGTCGAGGAAGAAGAGGAGAGGAGGAAGTGGAGAAGAAGGTGCGGAGGAGAGGGAGGAGAGAGAGGACAGGGAGGAGAGGGAGGAGAGGGAGGAGAGGAGAAGGCCTGGAGGGGTTCGAAGGCAAAAGGCCATGATCGAGGACAGGCAAACGAAACGGCAGAAGACAGAGAAAAGTTCACCGAAGAACGGATGAGCAGAAGTGAGAAGAAAGGCACCTGCAGAAACCATGAAATGCCTTTTATCCTTGCCTCCTTTGTTGAAACCTCCTCCCCTGGGCCAAAGATTAGAGATTCGATCTCCCCCCCTGCCCTCCACTGCTGGGCGCGCACATCCGCAGCGATGACGAAAAGAAAGAATAGGAGAATAGGAGAATAGGTTACGCAGCTCTGAACCCTCACGCCCTCACTTGTCTTATCAACAGAGAAACAACAGAACAGAACGGTTACCAATCTTACAAGTTACGACCGATTCCTCAGTCGGAAAAAGAGCATGGAGGTTGGAAAACTACTACGACCGATTCCTCCCTCGTGACTTCAGTCTTCTTCAGTAAGTGCGGGAACGTGCGATAATACTTAAGGTGCCCATGGAGGTGCTACTACTGGACGGGTTGGAGATCAAAAAAAAAAAAAAAAAAAAAAGAGAGAGAGAGAAAAAAGTTTTTTTTTTTTTTTTGTGGGGGCGGAGGGGGGGCGAGTTGGAGAAAACTCAACTGAAGAGAGAGGTTGGGAAAAAAAAAAAAAAAAAAAAACAGAAAAGAGGAGAAGATGAAGTTCCCACATAAAACAACGAAAGCGAGGGATTTTTTTTTATTATTTTTTTTTAATCTGGCGGCGTGTACGCAACAAGCATCTCATCAATCGGAGGACTCCTCGGAGTAACGAGCAATGACAACCACGGAGAGACTCTGCACTGAAGTTCAAAAAAAAGACAGAAAAAAAAAAAAAAAGGCGGAGAGATCTGAAGCGAGGCGGTGGGAGGAAGAAGAGGGGGGGGAGGTTGGGAACGAAGACAATCATGTCTCGAGACTCGAGCGACGTGTGGAAGAAGGCGAAAGCCGGCGGCTTCGCGAGCTTACCAGTGACGTCTGGAGGGCCGCGACTTTCAGCCCTCGCCGGAGGTCTGATATCCAAAGAGCTCCGACAACATCGACGCAAACGGCAGCTCTCTACTAGGCACTGGTGGTTCCCTTTTATGTCTTTTTTTCTTTTTTTTTTCTTTTTTTTTTTTTTTTTTTTTTTTTTTTGCCCAAGGCCGGCGGGGTCTTCACAGTCTACCCAGTTTCGCTTTTTACGGGACCAAAGGACCCACCCGCAAGGTCCCACTTGCACGGGTTAAGAGATTCTGGCCGTCGATCTCTGCTATCCACGGTCAATATCGCTTACTTCGTGTAAGTGGGACCTAGCCCCGAGTACGAAGCACCTTTTTTATGTCTTCTGTTTTTTTTTTTGGGGGGGGGAGGAAATTCTTTTTTTTTGTCTTCTGCTTTCTGCTACTATGGCAATATAGCAAAA